AAACAATCCCCTCCTACTTCAACTGACCGCCATCAACCAAAAATAGGAGACACTATTAACCCTTTCTGAGACGCTAGACGTCTGAACGTTGTGCAGAGTAGCTGAATTGTATGGTAACTCAAGCTGTTTGATTTAGGGCTGTAGAGATAACACCAAAAGGTTACCATGGAAACATTTGTTCTCATTTACTGCTGTCCTGTACGATAAGAAAGTCTGAAGGGTAAAAGAATGAAGAAAAAGTATAAATTACCAATGGGCTTAGACAGCTGAGCCTTTCAAAATTAAATCTAATTATTTTACCATATATCTAGACAGAGTACGTGTAGTTTTCTGCTCTCGCTCTGTGATTAATAACATGGATATGTTTAGAGCAAAAACTCCGAAGGCACGTTCCAACCTGCTTTCGAAAGCACTTCAAATTAGGGAACATGTAAGGGAAAGGATGACAGCTAAATCCACTTGACTCTTTTAATTAAAATGCGGTAGTCTAGATTAAAAAAAATGAGATGGGGTAAAGAGGGAAGAAGAGGGAAAATAAATCCTAGGAATAGCATGAAACTGTACTACAGCACTTGAAAACCCCTACTTAAAGTGTAAGAAATTCAGAAATAAATGACTTTTGCTATTTAGTCTTATCTTAGTAAAACCTGACCATGCATTTGCTATCTTTCTTAAGGTTAAGTCAAATCAATTTGCAATTCTGGATCTTTCTTCATCTTTGTTTTTTTGAAATGGCAATGCAAAGAACAGGTCTAGCTGGCTTATACAGAAGTCTGTTCAGCAATTTGCAGCACTCTCTTTGTCAGAGCAGTTTTGTGCTTAGCTGGGGACTCGGCTGTCTCCATGAATGAGCATTTGGACTCTGGTGCTTGAGGGGAGAGCGCAAGAAACACTGACAGAACTGCTTTCCAGGTGGAAATCAGAGAGAAATCACTGGTCAGCAACGATCTGAGCAGACCACGTTGACTTCTGTGATTTCTAATTAACAACAGAAAGCTCAAATTTCTTAATGACATGGAAGAAACATGTAGTATCTGAGGTCGTTCTTCTTTAGTGCAGCATACGTGACAATGTCAGCGTATAACAAACGCTCCTGGTTCCACCAGTCGCTGTCCCGGGACAGGTCAAGCACCATTGTGTAGCTGTCCCTTCTCTAAAAGGGGACATTCCTCGTAAATAAGCCTTTTGCTACCATCAGTAGATTCACAGCTGAGAACCAAGACTGAGATATGGATGGTAACGCTTCTGTTTTATGTTCTTGTAGGAGAATGAACGAACAGGCTGCTTTACCTATTTAATGTGGTTTTGGTTTGTAATGTCCCACTGCACGAAGGACTTTCTTGGTCAGGACACATACAACACACAGGTGATAATACTGCGGGGCCTCAGGAGAAAGTTTTTACCTGGCATTTGCTTAAGATCCTTTCCCTGAAAGGACATGACATTAAATAAACCACTGTTAACCTCAGCTTCAAAGCGACCACCACTATATTTTCCTCTGCAAGTTTATCTGATACAATATGGAAAAGCTCTTCATGTCTTCAAACTATGGGAAACGAGAGAAAAAAAAAGAACAGAAGGTGGTGAAGACTCCTCAGCATTAAACATGGAATGAGAAAGAGGGGCTTATGAAATGAAGGACAGCAAGGGGATAATGGATTAACAAAACCCATCTCGGATGCATCTGAATCCATGAGTATGTGCAATTTCAGCTGTCAGGTCATTAACTGGATGAACACATAATTGATAAGCCGTAGGCTGTGCTCTACTTGAAAGCAATATGCTCCTTTAAATAGTATTAATATTTAACATATATAAAAGCATTTGTCATTTTGCAAAGCACTCTATAGACTGACTGATTCTATAATGATCCCCAACTCCCAGACTAGGGAATACACTTCTAGAAGGATAAATATCTTGCCCACATCCAAATCAGCATTAACTGCCACAGCTAGCAGCTCTAATTCAAAAATGAGATAGTTCTAAGTTTCTGATCCTGGTCCCTCCAGATTACACTACTTTTTAGCTTTCTGCAGGTGGAGGCACAACATACAGACTGAGCTGGAAGACATGGGCCGACAATATTAAACGATGTTGCTGACTCACATCAGCTGATTGTCACATCCCTATGTTGGGCCAATGTCCACACTGAAAGATGCAGTTAAGGGGGTAAAACACAAGTAATTGAAATACCTAGTATTTGATTGCCATGTATCCCCCACTTTTTTTTTTTTTTTAAAAAGGAATTCAGTTTTGAGGAGTTCAAAAACTCAGTTTTCTGAGTTCCATAATGTGTTAGTACTTTGAATATACAATTTTTTTTTTTTTTAATTTAAAGGGATATAGTAAAATCACTTGTAGGGGATCCTTAAAACTCTGATAGCATTTTTTTGAAATACAACAAAATATTTCTCATATTGCAGGTACCGAGTTTCTTCAAAACAGCCATAGAACATTTTTACTGCCCAGAATTACTGTAGAAGAACCTTCAACCTCCTACATGATTTCCTGAGATGTCTCCCAAGAGAAAGAACACATTGGAAAACGCATCATTTCTCTTGGCTGGATATACCATCCTTTTGCTGTAGCTGAACTTTATGCACAAGGAAAGTGGATTTCCATGGGGATCTCCTGAGTACTCCCATGCGCCAAAGAGCAGACTGTGCATGCAGTTGCATCCTCAATGCACACGCTATGCTGACAATACCAGCTAAATAAAAAGGACGCAAGGTCTGGATTGTCCATTTAAGGTGCGTAATTTAAATGCATGGGTCATTTCTAGCTGCGTTTGTTCCATGAAATGTTTTTGCCTTTTCACTACCAGTTTCTGTTTCAATACACCCAAAGATCTGTTCGTCATCATACCCTTATAGCTTTGACATTCCATGATCCATTCTTTTAGCTGCCTATACTCAGCACTACTAAATTCTGCCAAACAAATCTGATCTTCTTAGGGGCAGATAAAGCGATTACTGATGACAGTCAATACATTGCAAGATATTTCAAGATAGTCCAAGTAGAAAAAAAATGCATACACAAATTTATATTGGACATATTACTGAAGAGCTATTCAGAACTTCCAAAGCAGAGAAATATGACAAGCAATAAAACCTGATGGCTTCTACGTGTCTGTATTTTGACAATTCAACAGAGTACAAGTTTAGAGAGAAAGCGAAAATTACTAAAAGAAAGTATTATTCATAATTTTTTTTTTTAAAAAACATGAGTGAAAGTCTAACATAAATCTTCCTTTCTGCTCCATCTTATATCCTTGCAAAATTCAGCTTGGTAGCCGATATTTCCACAGAACTCCTATTTGGTAAAAATTGCTTGATTGTATTCTAGACAGTGGCTTGCATTTTTCCGCCTAAGTGGCTCAAGCTGAAAGTTCGACTCTTTCCATCAAAGCCAGTACAATCATTCTTCCAGTTTAATGTCTTGTCAGACAAAACTGTGACTGCAGGTCACGAAAGTGACAATTTAATAGCAAGGTATGTGACCTGATAGCTATTGCTAGTCTGAAGGAAACAATACGGTACTCAACAAACTTTAGTGAAACTAAAAGATACTCAACAGCATGACTGCTAAGTTGCTATAAGAATTATCACAGGTCCTGCTTGCAGCTAATTCCTAGCATTACAAAATTTGGCCCAAACTGTAAAGGAATGCTTAAATAAAAATCATAAACTTCTTCATCTGACGCTCTCCAAAGAACTTGAAATGACTTGAGTATGTAAAAGCTCAGTGAAATCTGAGTAAGGACCTCTGGATCTCACTCCTCGTCAGGTATTCCCTTTAATCCTCAGAGCTGAGGTTCCAGGGTTTGCCTTCGTTGGTGTTTGCTTTCTCCAGCGTCTTCCTCTCACTCCTCCACCGTTTCTCTCCAACCTGAACTCTCGTTCTTTGTGTTTCTACAGGTTTCCCACTTCAATCTGTGGACTAGGCCATTTCTTTCCCTTTTTATTCTTTTGTACTTCAGCCCTTCTCTTTTCCACCACACACTCCACGGTTACCCAGAAGAGGGCTAGTGAGGCCGAGGCCCTGTGAGGCCTAGTGAGGCCCTGTGACAAATACCCTGCCCTTGACCCAAGCTGCAGCTCAGGGTGACCCTGCGTTCATGGCACACCGCAGGAAAGCAGACCCAGGACAGACTGCGCACCTGCCCGAAGACCCCTTTGGTGACGTGGCTGGAACAGCCGAATAGAGAAATGGGACCTCTGTAAGATGCTAAATTTGCTCACACTCTGCTTCTCCGTGGTTTCAGCTCTTCTGGAGTTCAAGCTAAGTCATCCTCTTGACGTGGGTCTGACAAGAGTCAGGGACCTGTTCTTACATGACAACACAGCAAAGACTGTCCTTCCAAAAGTTGTCTCCTGGGAGAGTCCCAGGAGGGAAGGCAAATTTCTTTAAAGAAAAGCGCCACCAACTTTCTGGCAGTAATATTTAGATGCAGTTATGAATCACAGGCATAGGAGAGAAGCACATAAAATTCCCCACTCCTACTGCTATTTGCTTTTGACATCTTCCCCTGTGTCTGCTTGGCAACTCTTACGCCCCCGCTAATCTCATGTGGGTCAAAATTACTGTTCAGACAGTGACTCAGCGAGAGTCCTCACTCCGTACCAAGAAAGAGGGGCAGCCCTAAGGGATCAAAATCCTGCTTTGTTTTACAGCTTTCACTGTCCATAGCTAGTTTCTGCATTCTGTTGTGGCATGTGCTGACATCAAATTAATCCAGAGTTGTTCCAGAGCGTGCTCAGATATTCCTCTCTGGAGCTGAAATCTGTGCAGCGCTTTAAACCTCCAGACAAAACAACTGAAGCATCTTTTTTGTGTTTGGCATTTATGAAATATCAGGCCATTGGCTTAAATACAGCAGTAGGAATCCAGCTTTAGTTTCTCTTTTTTTTTTTTTTTTTTTTTGAAGTCTTATCCTACAAGTCTAATTTCAAGTATCTTCCACCGAAGAGGATGACAAAATAAGGGAAATAACAATTTACCTCTACTTCACATGCGTATTCAGATCCATCCAGGAGTGTCACTTTGCACTGCATATTTTTAGGTTTCTTCACAATCTTTAGAGGAGACTTGGAAAGTTTGCTAGATGATGATTTTTGAGAGAGTTTGTCGTCCTCTAACTGCTGGTATTCCAGCTGTTTTGCACTTGCAGCAGCTAGCTCCTGTTCTTTGTCTGTGGCCTACAAAGGGAAAGATAAGTTTTTAAGTGAGATAAATCGGTCATGCAGTGCAGTACACTATACACCCTGATTTTGGCATACCAAGCATTTAAGTGAGTCTAGTGTGGAACGTGGATGATGTGGGGCCCGTGATGCAGGACAGATATACTTCTATCTATTGAAAAGGCTTAGCTTAACCTCCATATTCCTCCCACCACTCCCTTTTCACTCTGAAAGGGACAGAGTACCCAGGGAGGGGGAATATCCACTTCTTCCATAGGTACAAAATCCCTCTCAAACTGGTTCTATGGTCTCTTAGAAACGCTGGACAGTGAGCAAACACTGTGATGAATAGAAATTCTTAGAAATTGCTGATATTACTTTTAAGTCCTTTACTTATTAAATCATAGAGTGCTTCCATGGTGTCACATGGAATAGGAAAAGACCAAGAGGTTTACACTCATTTTGTTCTCAGTGAGAAAAAATCCTCTGAATAAGGGGACTGATCAGCCTATAACATTGTGAATTTGCAGGGGCGGGTGCAGACACGCCTCTGAGAGTGAAAGGTTCCCCAAATGCCTGAGCAAGGGGTTAAACAAACAGGATGGAAGTACAGGGCCAAACAACTGCAACGTGCAGCTGGCTGGCTAATGGATAATAACCACAAGATGAGAGGCTGAATTTTGCTCTCCACAGATGACTGATAAGTCTTTCAAGCTGGCGAGAAGTAGGTGCTATTTGAAAGACAAATATACTGCAGGGGAAAGAGGAGAGAAGGAACAATCACAGTTACTTTTGCTTGGGTTTATCTGAGGGTCAGACTATTTGCAGAGTTATTGTGATGCAGCATATTTGGTGCTCCTTTCCACCCGAATAGATGAAAGCCAGAGCAGCTCTACAGAACGTCCAACCTTCCTAGCAACAGCACTATGCTGCAACCCTTACCTTTCTAATCAGTTGTGCCCTGAGAGTCTCCAGACAAAACCTCTACTAGAGTACAGCAATACCTAAGTTAAAGCTTAAAAAACTAATCTTTTAGTTATCTCACTACCATGAAAAAACAACCAGTTTGGCTCTGAATGATTTCAGTATAATAAGCAGTGAGCGTCACTGGAAATTTATCACAAATTAATCCTCCAAGACTGCTTCCTTTAATTGTATTAAGCCTTTATGAGAACGGAGCAAATCCGTCCAAAGGCTTTAATCAGCTTTGAGACCAAAACAACCTTGCATCGTATAACTACCAACAACAGCATACCACAAAATCACAGGGTACTTTCCCTGAGAGATTTCGTACAAGTGAGCCTATAAGCTTCCCTTCTATATTTGGGTGAATGGGAGAAAAAGGAATGCAGGGTCGGTCAACTAGGCCAGCAGCATTACGTGACAACACCCGTTCACACTGAAGTCCCAACTCTTTGATCCTCCACACTGCTAAGATGTTGTCTGACTGTTTGTTTCTGAGGAAGAAGAGGTTCACGCTGAAATACCCTTTCCAGGCAACACAAATGTGACTGCCTTAAGCCATTTCCTTCTGAAAACTGAAGTCCACGCTTAGGGACTGACAGCAGAACCAGTGCAGATACCACCATAAAGGCCAAATGCTCTGCTGCTGCAAACGCAGGGCATAACGGTAGCGTTACCATGAAGCCCAACAAACGAGCAGAAGAGCGTGGTGCTTCCGGTGGGCAGGCCGAGATCATACTGGTTCCAATTCCTTCCTTAGCCAAACAAGAATTATTCCCGCCTCAGCTGATTTTGCCACCTCACATGCACTTGATAACGTTTCAGGCTGAAGAACCAAGGCTCCAGCCAACTCCCTGCCCTGCTCACACAGACAGAAACGGGAGCACTGCTTCACAGGGCCGCTCTGCCCGCCACCCCGCTCCTCACAGTGTACAAGGCAATTGCGGCAATGCAAGGTGAGACCCTATGCTCCCCGTTTCCCTACAAGAGAAATGACAGCAAAGGTCACCTGGGCTTCCTCTGGAAGGAAAGACAAGACGGCAGTGAGACTAGGAACGCAAAAGCTGCTTTCAAAATCCACCTCATGGATTAGCAGAGGATGCGCCTCTCCAGAACCACAACCCTGGCCATCTCAGCCTGCTCTCCCCACTGTCTAGCTCCAGTGCTTGAAGACTTTCCCTTTCCAGCACTCAGACACCAGCTCTGTCTCTGGACATCGAGGTCTTCAAGCACCTTAAGGCTGGTGGAGGATGAAGGCACAGGACTAGGTTACTGCTGACCAATTAATGCTCACAGGGGCTGTGACAAAGGGGAGAGTTCTTCTAGGCTCAGGGTAAGGCTGGAGGCTAGGTACAATAACCAGAGCCAGTTGGAAAACAGTCTGACCTACTGGATTGAGGAAAAAAGACCTGAAGACAGAAGACTATTCACCTCTGAACAGCTACTCTCTTCCTGATGGGCTGACGGACTCTTTTGACTGATGATTTTTTTTTAAAGTTTTGTTAAAGAAATCTACCATGGAAGGGGTACATGCACATGTGTAGGTGCAAAAGTCATTCCTAGGCTGGAAAAAAATATACTGTCATGGCAGGTGGCTCATTAGATTTTTCATATGTAAGTTTAAAAAAAAAAAATCTAGATGCATGGAATGATTTTTTTTTTTTTTGGTTAGAGAAAACAGGAAAGCCACTTGAGAGAAAAAGCCTCTTGTAACTCAAGGCCACAGCAGACATTAATTTACAATAATATTTTGTTTAAGTTCCTGTCTAAATTAAGATGAGTGAAATCTATCTAGGTTAAAATCATGCACAGGATTTTCTCTGATTTGTCTAGAGAACAAAACATGCCAAGAACTATTAGAGAAGATCCACCAAACCATGCTGACCTGTTCAGGCATTGAGATATTTTCAGAGTGAACTATGCCGCCTCTTCCTAAAGCAACTTGACATCCTGTTGGTGCAGGTGTTTGGGGAAAAAAGCGACCACTGAAAACCCATGCTCTCACTAGATTATTTTGTACTCTGCACGCATAGCTGCGTTCTTTCCCGATCCCTGCTTTTCCCCTCAGACCCTCCTGTGCTATATTTTCACAGTTAATTTCAGTGTCACAGACTACATTCTAGTATAGCATAAGTTGTTTCTGGGTTTCTGTGTTCTGAATATACGTTTCTGATCTCTACCTATATGAATACATGACAGAATACGTTCAACCCCTTCTGAAGGTGGAATCTCTCCTTGAGGCAAGCCTGCGCAGTCACAGGACTTCAGTAATAATCTTTGACACTTTGTAGTTTCCGACTTGGGCAGAGAGTGATATTAGCAAGCTTGCACAACACATGATTCCCATATATTTATAATAGTTGCTCTGAAATGTCAGTGCCCAGCCTGTGCAATGCTTTCTCGCTCTTTTTTCAACTAGACAGGAAAGCAGGAAGATGGTAAGATTGCATTATTATATTTGATAGGAAGAATTCATTGGTGCAGTAACTGCTAATCTCAAAATGAAAAAATCTTGTGTCTTAATTAAAATGTTCTTTTTCATGTGTAAAGAAAGACAATAAAAAGACACTGTAATGGAGCAGCAGCTTAAACCTTGCTTCCCAAGATTCTCTCACATGACTGATAGTAAAAACATCAACTTCCTCAGTTTGATTACATATTTATCACACGTTGCAGGAACAGATAACAGTAAGAAGGAGAATGATACCCGTTATTTGTTCAATTTTTGGCTTAATTTAATTTAATGATACCACTGCCAATAATTCTGATGCATAGTGATGCTTTTGAAGGGTTGTTTTTTGTGATGCAGATACTTAAGCCGCCATGAAATACACTAGGCACAACACTTCAGCTAGATTTGGCGGTCACCTTACAGCCATGACTTTTAGATTCAAATTTGTAATCTCAACGTAAAAGATTTTATATTCCTTCACTAATCCAGTTCTTCTATCAAAGCTTCGAGAAACCCTGTTCACAAGTGTTGTTCTTTGGGAAAGGAAAGGGATCATGCAGTGCATGAGAACATCTCAGGTCTCCAATCTCAAATGGAGAGAAACATAGGTTTTGTGCATATATTTTTTAAGAAAATGAAATGCAACTCAGGTAGGAAGGATTAGTGAAAATGTTCAGAAGAACAAAATAAATAATACCTATGCCTAGGCTTGATACAATTCAATTCTAAACTAATTATCTGTTTGTGTACTGCCTTTCTCTTCTGGGCCAAAGCCCTGGCTCTGTTCGCCATACTAACTACTTGCAATTTCTGATCACTTTTTGAGACTTAAATTGTCCCAGCATAGTAACTAGTGGATATGGGAACAAGAGCTAGCAGATCTTTGGTGGAGATGGAGTGAAGCTGCAGCTGATCAGAGTTTATCAATGGTAATAAAGGTTAGCAATAAAACAATAAGCAGTTATTGAAGATCAACTGCTGAAGTAACAATAAACACCAGAAATCTTCCCATATCTACCTCTTGGGATATAAGAAATCAGATGTAAGACACCTCTTTTAATTTGGTCCTAGAAACATTTGTTGTCCCAAGTATGTAATACACCCCCCAAACCAGGCAGATACAAAAAGCGCTTATGCCCACTGTTTTTCACCAATAACAGGTTTGAGCTATAACTCTGTAGACAAAAAAATTAAAATCCAAGAACATAGCCAGCCCTAAACAGCTTTAGAGGGAGCAGATGCATTCATTTCAAGTAATGCCTTATATCTGCCGCTTTACCAGCGCCATCTCCTAAGCCTAAGTAGTTTCCCTAAGGCAAAAATAATAAAATAAATAAATTCACCTTGGAGGATCTGAACTTTATAAAGGATGCAAGAGAGGAGGAGCTAGGCTCGCTTATTCCACACTTCAAAGGTGGATGAGATTAGACTGGGGCTACAACCTCATGCAAGTAAAAGATCTGATTTTCAGGTACATCATATTGATGGTGTGTCACTTACCTATGAAGAGTAATACTTGGCATTCCTAATTGTTAAGGAGGGAAAAATAGCACCTTCCATAAATTTAACAAACTCAGCAATGAACTCAATGAAAAAAATCATGCAATAACTCTTCTAAAGGTTATTACAAGAAAACTGAAAGTAATTATAACGCAGCCATTTCAGAACTACGAGGAGCTTAAGAGACCATAGATTTTTCATGCTCGCACATCAGATAAGCAAGCATGAAATCAGTTTTCAGCAGGTGTCAAAGAAGAAATGAACTCCAAAAATATTTTCAACCTCTTAAAAATTGGCAATGTTTGCTATCTAATGCAGATCAAAGATCTTATTAGAGTAAGATTGAAGATGTTTCCCACCTTAGTGGGACTGGCCTTAAATTTAAGCACTGATGGCAGAAAGACTGGTATTATTTTTAAACTCCAAAGACCAACCACTCAAAATCTATACATAACGAAAAACAGTCTTTCATGCATATCTGAACACATATTTCTGATCTTCACAAAACTGCCTCGTTATTTGCCAGCGGCAATTATGGACCATGTCACTACCTGCACCCAGTGAGCAAGGCTCCCTCACCTGCTCCTTTTTCACAGGTGTGCTGTGAGCTGCCACTGCTGAAAACTGCTCGAGGGCGTTTTGATGCTCTTCACTCAGCTGTTGCTGCTGCTGCTGCTGGTCCTGCGGCTGCGGTTCTGCCGTGCCCTGCTGCACTGGGGCCTCCTGCTGATCCTGCTCTTTATCCTTGGACTCCGAATCTGATCCCGATTCTGTAGTCATGGTTGGTTATTCTGTAAAACAAGGCGGTTGGACCTCCTGAGCATGAGTTTGTCGCTAGTAGTTTTTAAATTACGCTTTCAAAATAGAGAAACTGTAGTCACAGAGTTTTAGGCTTATTACGCCTGGCCCTTAAAACTAAAGCGAGTATTAAACTGGCTCAACGAGGATTACTGGAAAACCTCTGATGCAAAAAGAAAGGTCTAAACACTCCCATATCCTAAGGAAGAGTGCATAGCCACATAATTTTATGATACAACATACAGAACACGTTCTAAGAATGGTACATTGAAATTAAATATAAAAAATACAGTTCTAAATAGTAAACCCTAAAAGAGAGTAATATATTGAGAAAAGCTTGTGTAATTTAGGGTCTAAAATCCAATACACTTCAGTGTGACTTAAGTTTCTAAACTATTAGCACGTAGAAGTTTTTGAAAATGCTAAATCTTTCGTCCTTTGTGTTTAAGTTTTTAGGTCAACAGGACTTGAACTCCTCAATACCTTAACTACTTTTGAAAAAGGACTGAAGTACTTTTGATGTCTGTAGGCAATATACGTCCTAGAAACATTTGAAGTGGACCCACCAAGATCAATACAAATGCATACTTGTCCTTGTGTATTGTTCTGCCCCTTCTGATTGAATTCACTCACACTTCTGTCATTTCTCTCTACGTGCTGGAATAGCCAAAAGGAAAGTACTTCCATTAAATCATCCTAAGACTTAACTTTTTAAAAAGGGAAATACAACTCTCCTTCAATATGAAGTACCACCTATGTTTGAAGTATGTTTGAACGTAGCTTTATCTAGTACTAGATCAAAATGGAAATACTATCAATATTCATTCAAAACCCTAACATGACTGTTTTGAAATTATATAGCCCATTAAAAATGTGTGGTTGATACTAAAACTCAAACTATATAGAAGCAAAACCCAATTTTAAGAAACATCGTGATTCCATATCAAATATGGATTTGAAAAAGCAGACTCTGTGCCAGTTCAGCAAGCAGGCTGTACTCCACCTTTGTTACTTGTACCTTTTCAGTCATCGTGGTCGTCTGCTTCAGCACTTTGATTTTAAGCAATTCTAAACCAAATCAGACAGCGGCAGTCTATTGCTGCTCATCATCAAGCCATAATTTCTTTAACCTGGTAACCATAGCTACTATGCAATTACAAACAATTCCACTGCACATAAAACTGGTAATTCATTTGGTAGGAAGCCATTATCAATTCTTAACATATGCCATCACGTTCGCTAGCAGAAATAGATTTCTTAAAAGTTAAAAAAAAAATTATATACATTTTTAAACCAAAATATTTAGTAAGCTTCATTATTTGACAGAAAATGTGTTAGATGAGGTCAATTAATTGTTTTACACTCAGTCATGTATTCTTTACTTTAAAGGCAAAATTCACCAGTGAATACCTTTCTCTGAGCAGTCACGTACAGCAAGCAACTTAACAGCACTCAGCTTGCGTTCAGTTTTTGCAACATGCGTGTGCATGTGGGTATACATGTGGTTGTGTATAACAAAACAGCATGAAACAGTGGAAACATGGAACTAGTAGGCATATATGGTAGATCCACGTTTGAGGCCAGATTTTCAAAGTCCTAACACATGACACGCTTGAAAATATATCACATTTTTCTACACAAAAGTTGGCACAGTTACATGAAAAATACCCTTTAAACCACCTGCTATTCAAACAATTGCCTTTAACACCTACAAAAAGAAATAATTATCTAAAGTCTTAAAATGTTACAGTCAGGAAGGCACTCATTTGACCAAACTTCAGACACTTACATCTGAGATAGTCACTTTAAACTCACTGCATGCTCAGTGGAGAAAAATAGACATTTCAGAGTGACTCATTTGACCTATTTTAGATGTTTGCTTTAAGCTGAGATAAAGCACATGCTCGTGTTATTTCTTTCTATCCACTTTAAAGGAAGCCTAAATAAGTTTCTCCGATGTCGATGTCTACAAACCTATTCTCCATCCTCCATGTTCAACTCTTAAGCCACCCTTTTTGGTACTCTTTAAAAATTAAACTGAAAAATAATGTTATTCTCTCATAGTTTTGTTTTGCCCATCTATCAGAAACCATGTAATAACTATTCTTCATCTGATGTTATTTTGGTTTCCTTGCTTTAAAGGCACCTAAGTCTACAAGCTTTACAAGTTTCTTCCTCCACTCCCAAACTATGTCCTGTAAAACCATTCCACACAATAAATCCATATTCATCCAATATTCATTCAATAATAACAAACTGTGTATTTGATTTTCTTTTTTTCAGAAATAATTACAGATTAGCAAGTTACAGAAAACTAAGTTACAGCTACAGATCTATTGATAAAACAACTCCAAATAGCATAGATGACCAATACAAACTATAATGCACTGAGGTTCTAGTGTTAAGGGTGTTTTTTTTTTTTTTTTAAACATTACTAAGAGCAGTGTGAAGAGTAAACAACTGTCATACTTGCTGTTTTGAAACACAGTCAGTATGAATACCTTGAGGCGTTCATCCGCACAGGATAAGACTGCCAGACAACATGAATCAAAAATCTTTCTTACTTCAGTTTTCATCACAGTGTCTCTGGAACCTAATTTTTTATATCTTATATAGCTTTTTTTCTAATGAATGTTTGTGTCCTGAATTGTAAGTGGATATGTTTCCACGCTCACTAAATTGGTCTCATAAAAGTAAACTTACGATTTTGCAACTCAAAGAACAAAAATCCAGTTCTTAAATTACTCTACAAAATTTCCACATGACAGAGAGCTTTATAATTCCATAAGTTACTGTCTGAGATTGGATTTCGCTTTAGTTACATATGAGACCTTGCCTGCTCTAAGATCATCTTATTAGAAAACTTCCTGTGTGTTATCAAATCTTTTAGCATAAGTGATTCTGGATACAATATTCCTATCATTAGTCAGGCACCAGATGGATTTAATTAACCCAAGGTTATCCATTTCCAAATGTCTCCTTTATTTCCCTGTGCATACTAGTATGTTTAATAACAAATACTGAGACCAAAATACTATTGATTTCATGCTGTTATCTCAGAGATGTAAATAGAAGCAAAGTAAACAAGTTTTAAATCCAATTTCTTACAGATGATTGTACTGTTAAGATTTATTTCATTCCATCTAATACACATTTAAAACACCCAAATTACAACATGGAAAAAACATTTCTCTCATGTAGTGCACACTAATAGGTCATTTTGCTTTCTCTGGCAAAAAAATACTTTTCCAAAATAACTTTTCAAGTTTTTTTTTTTTAAAATAAACAACATAATATCTTCCTAGAAAAATGTAGATATTTATTAATTGATTGGAAGTAACAGTAATTTTAAGAAATCTAGCAACATAAATTTTATTTGACTTTTGTTTGTATGCAGAAATCTTTTGCAGACACTACTAGCTATTTCTGTCATTTGCCTAATGTATTCAATTGGATGAGAACTACTTATTTGTATTTTATTAGTTTATTTACTACTTCTAGCTAAACTGAACACAAACCCCATGATTTCTGATGTGAATTTCAGTACAGAATAACAACTTCAATGCAGTTATATTTTTAAGGTAAAGAAAGACATTACTTAAGTTCCTTAAACTTTCTATTCCCAGCCCAATCCTTGTATCAAATTCCTCCTTTTTCCAGCACACAAAAAACACACTAAGAAAAAGAAACTAAGAACATCACCTTATACAAATGAGGAAATACTATGTAACACAGATGTGCATTTGGATTTCTAAGTTTTGGCTTACGTTCCTGTATTTAAAGATTCCGAAAGAACCAGTTTAGTCCGAGCTTAATACAGATGCTGTTAATACTGGGTAGTCTAAGTCTAAGGTCAATATGGCTATAGAATTCAAACAGAATGAAAATCAAGTGTTTAATAATTAAAGAAAAATATTCCAAAATCTAGTTCATTTTAATCTGTTACAACTACTTAAAAATTACATTAAAAATGGACGCATATTCAGCAGTGTAAAGTTTTAAAAATAACTGAGATTACAGTAAAAGAATAAATTAAGGACGACAAGTGTGCGTACTGGAAGAGTACGCGGTGAGGCGGACTGCAGCGCTCAGAGGGTTGAGATCAGTGGCCCAGAGTCTAGTTGGAGGCCTGTATCTACAGGTGTCCCTCAGGGGTCAGTAGTGGGTCCAGTCTTGTTCAACTTGCTCATCATTGACCTGGATGAAGGGACAGAGTGCCTCCTCAGCAAGTCTGCTGAGGATACAGAGCAGAGAGGAGTGGCTGGTACATGCAAGGGCTGTGCTGCCATTCAGAGGGACCTGGACAGGCTGGAGACATGGGCAGAGAGGAACCTCCTGAAGGTCAACAAAGGCAAGTGCAGGGTCCTGCACCTAGGCAGGAATAACCCCATGCACCAGCACAGGCTGGGGGTTGACCTGCTGGAAAGCAGGAGAAGGACCTGGGAGTCTTGGTGGACAACAAGTTGACCATGAGCCAGCAATGTGCCCTTGTGGCCAAGAAGGCCAATGGTACCCTGGGGTTGCATTAGGAAGAGTGTTGCCAATGGGTGGAGGGAGGTGATCCTGCCCCTCTACTCAGCCCTGGGGAGGCCACATCTGGAGTACTGTGTCCAGTTCTGGGCTCCCCAGTACAAGAGAGACATGATGCTCCTGGAGTGAGTCCAGCAAAGGGCTACAAAGATGATGAGCAGACTGGAGCATCTCTCCTATGAGGAAAGGCTGAGAGAGCTGGGACTCTTCAGCCTGGAGAAGAGAAGACTG